CACAGCTGGTTTCTTGTTGGTGCTGCATGCCCATTTCCTCAGCTGTGACTGCCAGAGGAGTGGGAGGTGGTAGTGCCTGCAGCCAATCAGGCCCAAGCCCTGGAGCTGCCTGGGAACAGGACCATGGCACCAGAGCGCCTACTGGCACAAAGCGAGTGCATGCTGGGAGCAGCCCATAGTGGTCTGCCACATCTGTGTATTCCTTTATTGAGACAGGATGTAGAACAGGCAGCTTTGACACAGTGCAGCAGTGTGCACAGAATGTGGCCGCCCAAGGCTCTGTCAGGCATTTAACACCCCATGCACATGGCCAGTTGCTGCACTCATGCAGGAGAAAGAACGCTGAATGAGACTTGGTCCCCAGCCTCCAAAGGCTTCAGCCATGGTGGCCGTCAAGCACAGTGACAGGGGCCAGGAGGGGGACCTCTTAGAGAGCCATGCAGTGATAGAAGCCAGAAAGGATGATGGCCTGCATGAGAATGGAGTGGTTGGACTGAAGCCATCTCTAGCAAGTGGCCAGGACTTTGCTTGCTCTGTTGAAGGTTGGAAGAAGGTGACTCCCCAGCAACTGTTGGCCAAGGGTTGAAGGGCACGTCCCCAGGGATAGGATGCAAACTGGCTGCCTTTGGTGGGGAGATGGGCGCTCACTTTAAGTGCTCCTATGGCAGGATCAGCAAGACAAGCAGGTTGGGGCAGGGGTGTGTGCACTGCTGTGTAAATGGAGGAGGCATCAGCAGGCAGACAGCAGCAGGTAACCTGGGTCTCAAGAGCCTTCCTGGGGCAGAAAGACCAGGGGAGACGTCCATCAGCCTTGGGGTTAATGGACAGTTGTCTGTTGGGTCTTGCTTCCTGGAGATAGCTGACGTCAGTCCAGCCTGCAGGGACAGGCCACCACCCACCTGATGTGGGGCATTTACCCCAGTCCCTGCTAGACTGCTGAACGTGGGGCACGTAGGGAAGCTGAGGCTGGTGTTCTGAGTGGTGGCAGAGCTGAGCCACAGGGCTCTACTGGACATGAGCCCCAGGGGGCAGGGCAGGGCGAGGTCTGAGGTCCTGGGCAGGATGGAGCAGGTAGGGGCTCAGGGAACTGGCAAGCGGGCGCTGCACAGGCAGCCCTTGAGGGGAGCCTGGAGTAGCCCTCCCAGTGTGCAGAAGGCAACAGCCTGCTGACTGCATCCCACAACCAGGTGCCTGCAGCAGCCTTGGAGGCAAGGTGAGCTCCACGGAGTGTTCGCCTGACACAGGAAAATGGCTCTAAAAACTGAACAGTGTTTGAGTTTCACTCCCATGAAACACAGAAGTCATCTGTGAGACTCTGTCCCAGAGAGGAGGGACCCCTCATGCCTGTTACCAGAATGTAGAGAAACACAAGTACAAATCAAAGAAACTGCAAATGACTGTCTTTTCCTGATGAATACAGCAATCCTCAGTGGTACTGCACCACTCGTGAAAAAATGCCTTCGGGCTCCTTCCCATCCCCCAAAGCAGCAGCAAAGCCTTCATGTCGCCTCCTGGTGGCCAAGGCAGCCAAAGATTTAAAAGTCTTTGGTTCGTAGATGGCCAGATCCGCTAGGACTTTCCTGTTGAGCTCCACCTGGCACTGGGAAAACAATCAGAGCCTGCAGTCAGCATTGCACTCACACTTCAGGGAGGCTCTGCTCTGCCCTGGCTCAGGAAGAATACAGATGAACATTCCCTGGGGGGTGGGGGCCCAGGAGAGGACTTCCAGGCAGGATGCTGATGGATAAATGTGGACAAGGGTGAGGGAGGCACCTGTGGAATTGGTGTGATTTGAGGGGAGGCTGCAGTCCAGTGCCGGTGTCAGCCCACAGAACCAAAGACCTCGTTCAGGGTCAGTGGCCCTCACCCTGAGTAATTCTTTAAGTCACCCTGGAAGTTCCACAAGAGAGCTAAGAACTGCAGATGATTTCAGAAAGCTAATGAACAATGCCAGAGTTAAAGGAGCAGAGAAGAAGGGAAGCAGTCTCTGAGCATTCAATTTAGCGACCAAACCCTGGCACGGTGGCTCATGCCTGTAATCCCAACACTTTGGGAGGCCAAGGCAGGTGGATCACCTGAAGTCAGGACTTCGACAACAGCCTGACCAACATAGAGAAACCCCATCTCTACTAAAAAATACAAAATTACCTGGGCACAATGGCCTACACCTATAATCCCAGCTACTCTGGAGGCTGAGGCAGGAGAATCGCTTGAACCTGGGAGGCGGAGGTGCGGTGAGCTGAGGTAGAACCACTGCACTCCAGCACGGGCAACAAGAGTGAAACTCTGTCTCAAAAAAAAAAAAAAAAAATTCTGCTACCAAGGACAAAGTGGACCAGTCGCACTCCCTGTGACCTGTGTGCCTTGTGCAAAGTCTGTCTCCTCTCTGAGCTACAATTCCCTGAGTAAAATGGGAATATGAAACCTCCTAAGCATACCCTGAGGATCTTTGTAAAGCAACAGCCTTCTGCAAAACGTCTACCTCCTTAAACTTTTTCTTTTTTTTGAGACAGTCTTACTTTGTTGCCCAGGCTGGAGTGCAGTGGCCCAATCTCAGCTCACTGCAACCTCCTCCTCCTGGGTTCAAGTGATTCTCCTGCCTCAGCCTCTTAAGTAGCTGGGACTACAGATGCCTGCCATGACGCCTGGCTAATTATTGTATTTTTAGTAGAGACAGGGTTTCACCACATTGGCCAGGCTGGTCTCAAACTCCCAAATCTCACTGGGCGTGGTGGCTCAATCCTAGCATTTTGGGAGGCTGAGGTGGGTGAATCACCTGAGGGCAGGAGTTCAAGACCAGCTTGGCCAACATGGTGAAACCCTGTCTCTGTTAAAAAAACAAAAAACAAAAAAAAAAACCTCCCGATCTCAGGTGATCCACCTGCCTCAGCCTCCCAAAGGGCTGGGATTACAGGCATGAGCTAACATGCCTGGCCAACCCCTTAACTTTTTAAGAAATATTTAATGTACACAAAAGCAGAAGGAATAGCATAGCATAATGACCAGATTAGGTCATCACCAAGATTTTGGAGCATTTGCATAAACCATCCCTTCACTCCAAAACATTCCCCATTCCTTACCGGAAGTTTCCACTTCACCTGTTATGTTATCAGAAATTATTCATTGTTAAAACTTTTTTCCTTTTTTGAGATGGAGTCTTGCTCTGTCACCCAAGCTGGAGTGTAGTATCTCGATCTTGGCTGACTGCTACCTCCACCTCCTGGGTTCAAGCCATTATCCTGCCTCAGCCTCCTGAGTAGCTGAGATTACAGGTGAGCGCCACCACACCTGGGTAATTTTGTATTGTATTTTTAGTAGAGACGGGGTTTCCACATTGGCCAGGCTGGTCTCAAACTCCTGACTTTAGGTGCCTCCCAAAGTGCTGGGATTATAAGCATGAACCACTGCACCCAGACTCGTTAAAACTTTTAAATTGCCGGGCGCGGTGGCTTACGCATGTAATCCCATCACTTTGGGAGGCCAAGAGCTGGCGGATCATGAGGTCAGGAGTTCAAGACCAGACTGGCCAACATGGTGAAACCCTATCTCTACTAAAAAATACAAAAATTAGCTGGCCATGGTGACTCGTGCCTGTAATCCCAGCTACTTGGGAGGCTGAGGTAGGAGAATTGCTTGAACTGGGACCCAGGAGGCGGAGGCTGCAATGAGCCCAGATCTTACCACTGCACTCCAGCCTGGGCTACAGAGCAAGACTCCATCTCAAAAAAAAAAAAAAAAAAAAAAAAAAAAAAACCTTTCAAATTAAACTTTGACGTTAAAGCCAAGTTTTTCTACCCCTATTTTCTTTTCTTTTTTTTTTTTTTTGAGACGGAGTTTCGCTGTTTTTACCCAGACTGGAGTGCAATGGCACGATCTCGGCTCACTGCAACCTCTGCCTCCTGGGTTCAAACAATTCTCCTGCCTCAGCCTCCCGAGTAGTTGGGACTACAGGCGCGCACCACCATGCCCAGCTAATTTTTGTATTTTTAGTAGAGATGAGGTTTTACCTTGTTGACCAGGAGGGTCTCAATCTCTTGACCTCCTGATCCACCCGCCTCGGCCTCCCAAAGTGCTGGGATTATAGGCGTGAGCCACTGCGCCCGCCTTCTACCCCTATTTTCTTAATGGGGGAAACACAAGCCCCGTTTCCAATTATACTCTGCTGCCAACCAGTGATAGATAAGCACCCAGACCTGCTAGAATCCCACACCAAGACAGCAAAGCTCCAGCTCCAGCGGCACCTCTCACCTGTGCTGCATAGACCACTGCCGGGCTGGGTCAGGTCTGATGGGAGGGCTTGTTATTGTTTTTGTTGTTTTGAGACAGGGTCTTGCTCTTGTTGCCCAGGCTGGAATGCAACAGCCCAATCTCCACTCACTGCGACCTCTGCCTCGAGGGTTCAAGAGATTTGCCCACCTCCACCTCCCAAGTAACTGGGATTACAGGTGCCCGCCACCATGCCTGGCTAACTTTTTGGATAATTTTTATTTTTTTGAGACAAAGTCTTGCTCTGTCACCAGGCTGGAGTGTAGTGGCACAACCTCCGCCGCCCAGGTCAAGTGATTCTTCTGCCTCAGCCTCCCAAGTAGCTGGGACTACAAGCATGCACCACCATGCCAGCTAATTTTTTTGTATTTTTAGTAGAGACGGGGTTTCCCCATGTTAGCCAGGATGGTCTCAATCGCTTGACCTCGTGATCCACCTGCCTCGGCCTCCCAAAGTGCTGGGATTACACGCGTGAGCCACCATGCTGGGCCTATATTTTGTATTTTTACCAGAGATTCGGTTTCATCATGTTAGCCAGGATGGTCTCGATCTCCTGACCTCCTGCTTCACCCACCTTGGCCTTCCAAAGAAGTGCTGGGATGATAGGCATGAGCCAACACACCTAGTGTCTTCTCTTTTTTTTTTTTTTTTTTTTTTTTTTTTTTGAGACGGAGTCTCACTCTGTTGCCCAGGCTGGAGTGCAGTGGCACAATCTTGGTTCACTGCAGCCTCTGCCTCCCAAGTAGCTGGGATTATAGGCACCCACCACCATGGCCAGCTAATTCTATTTTTAGTAGAGACAGCGTTCACCATGTTGGCCAGGCTGGTCTCGAACTCCTGACTTCAGGTGATTCACCCACCTCAGCCTCCCAAAGTGCTGGGATCACAGGAGTGAGCCACTGCGCCCCGCCATGGGTTCCTTCATTCTTTTTGAGACAGGGTCTTGCTCTCACCCAGGATGGAGTCCAGTGGTGCCATCATAGCTCACTGCAGTTTCAAATTCCTGGGCTAAAAGCGATCCTCCTGCCTCAGACTCCTCCTCAGTAGCTGAGACTACAGGTCTATGCCACCACATTCAGCTAATTTTATTAATTTTTTGTAGAGGATAGTCTCACTAAGTTGCTTAGTCTGTTGCTGGCATTATTCCCAGGCACAATCCCATCACTCATCAACCTGAAAATTTTGACCTGCTCCCTTTCCAACCTGAGCTGTTCACCCCTCCTTAGGCAACCTCGTGGTCCCCTGCTCCCAAGAGGTCACCACATTCATACCAAATTTAGCAAGGACAGTCCATCAGCATAGCAAACTACAGCCCAGAAGTCAGGCTTGAGGGATCCTCTGGCCTGAGCCTCCTCAGTAGCTGGGGCTACATAAGGCACCACCACACCCAGCAGGAAAATTTCTGCAGATGTCCAGAATCTCAGCGGGGCCCACGTGCTCACCCATACCTTAATTAAATTGCCAGTGAATGCTGGATACTTCAGGCCGTGTTCCTGGGTAGCAGCTGTAATTCGATTAATCCAAAGCTGAAATAAGAAAACACAGAGATGTTGGCCAGGTGTGGTTGCTCATGCCTGTAATCCCAGCACTTTGGGAGGCTGATGGGTGGATGATGAGGTCAGGAGTTCAAGACCAGCCTGGCCAAGAAGGTGAAACCCCGTTTCTACTGAAAATAAAAAATAAAAATTAGTAGAGCACAGTGGCAGGCACCTATAATCCCAGCTACTCAGGAGACTGAGGCAGGGTGCTTGAACCCCGGGGACAGAGGTTGCAGTGAACCAACCTGGTGCAGTGATCATGCCACTGCACTCACTCCAGCCTGGTCAACAGAGTGACTCCATCTCAAAAAATAGTAATAATGAAAAAAACATGGAGATGCTTAAGAATGACTTCTGCATGTCATGTCCCAGCAAAGGCTCTAATTGAACTAAAGGTTATTTTTCTAAAAGTAAATAGCAAAGTTAGTAACCTATGATGGCACCATCACAATCTGGCTTGAGTGAAATCAAGACCGTGTTTCAAAATTAAAAACAGCAAAAACCCGGCTGGGCGCTGCGGCTCACGCCTGTAATCGCAGCACTTTGGGAGGCGGAGTCTGGCAGATCATTTGGTCAGGAGTTCAAGACCAGCCTGGCCAACATCGCGAAACCCCATCTCTACTAAAAATACAAAAATTAGCCGTGTGTGGTGGTATACACCTGCAGGCCCAGCTACTCGAGAGGCTGGGATGGGAGACTCGCTTGGACCCGGGAGGCAGAGGTTGCACTGAGCCTAGATCGCGCCATTGCAGTCCAGCCTGGGCGACAGAGACTCGGTCTCGGGGGAAGAGGGGGAAAATAAACCCTGCTATGTTAGAGGACAGGTTCATTAGGCTGAGGCGGGGTGGTGAGGCGCAGTAAAGAGATGGTGGCAGGTGGACAGAGTGGAGGAGCCAGCCTCACAGAAATGCGGGATCCCGGGCGGGCGGAGCTCGTCAGCAGACGTGGTCTCTTCTAGGAGCACCACGGCAGCCGACCGCAGCCCTGGAAGGTGAGCAAGGGGCTGCCGGCAGGAAGGGAAGCCACTGGAGGTTGGACGCAGACGGGAGATGAGAAGCAGCAGCGACTAGGGCGATGGCTGGCGACGCAGCGAGCCCGGGTGAGGGGCTGGAGCAGGGGGTGGCAGTGGGGGTGGCGAGGGGGCGGGAGAACGGATGTCCCACAGTCTGCGGGGTGGCAGAATTCGTCGGTTTCGAAGCGAGGGATGAAAGGAAGAAGCGAAGGAGCCGAGGAGCCGAGGATGGCCGAGCGGCTGCACACCCGCTGGCTCTCGGGCCAGAGACGCAGGGGCCGCGAGCGCTCGGGCGGGCGAGGGTTCCGGGTCCAGCTTACGGTCCTCATGATCCTCTTCTTCAGGAATCGGGCTTTGGTGCACTTCACAAAGGCTCGAGTCACGGCTCTAACCGCCAACCTGTAGCAGCGATTTTTCCTCCCCCGGAAGTGCTGGATCAGAAAACGTGAAACCAGGGTTGTCAGGGCCCACGCCGGGCGCCCCTAGGCCCGGGGGACCCCCCGGGAGCCCAGTTCCCAGGCAGGGCAGGCGGGCGGCACTAACCCTGGCGTGCTTCAGCACCTCCTGGATCCGCCAGTAGCGGTCGGTGACGCGATTCCGCAGCCAGAGCTGCGCCGTGAGGAAGACCATGGTGCCCACTGACCCGCGTCCCGAATCCTCAACAACGCACGCGCCGCGCCGCCGCCATTTTGCCCCGCGTGGAAACAGCGGCCACGAGTGCTTCCGGGTTAGCGCTGACAAGGACTTCCGGGGCGAGGGTCACCTCCCAGCAGTCTGCGGGTGCCGGGCAGCGCCCCTGACCTGACGGTGGTCGAGCGTGTGGTGGAGCCGGGTTCTCCTTTCAGTCCCGGGCCGAGGGCGCGGGGCCCGGGAGCGCGAGTGCGGCATGGGCGGGGAGGGCCAGGCCGCCCTCTGGGGCCACGGGGATGCTGCCCGTTGCCTCCGAACCCTGCACTTCCTTTATTTATTTGTTTTGAGACGGGGTCTCGCCCGGTAGCTCCGGCTGGGGTGCCGCGGCCCCACCTCGCTCGCCGCCGCCACCACCTCCCTAGTAGCTGGGACTTCAGGCCCGCGCCGCCACCGGCTAATTTATTGTTTTTTTTGTAGGGGGGGGGTCTCCGGGCGTTGCCCAGGCTGCTCTCTGACCCCAGGCCTCAGTGCTGGGATTACGGGTGGAGCCACCGCGTCCGCCCTGTGTGGGAATTCCAAGCTTTGAAATGGTAAATGTGCTGCCAATGCCTGTAATCCCAGCAGCTTGGGAGGCGGAGACGGGAGGATCACTTGAGCCCAGGAGTTCAAGACCAGCCTGGGCAACATAGTGAGACCCCATGTCTAAAAAAAACTAAAAAGAAATTAACTGGGCCACTCGGGAGGTCGAGGCGGGAGGATCGCCTGAGCCCTGAAGGTGGAGGCTGAGGTGAACTCAGATTGCACCACTGCACAACAGCCTGGGTAACAGAGTCCGGGTCTGTCAAAAAAGTAAATTGTATGTGTAATTTTATATTTCTGTATTATTTACTACAATAAAAATGATGGGAGGTGTGCAATTTCTTTAGCTTTTAATTATAGTTGGATATGATTTTTAAATTATAGAAAAGTTGCAAGACTAATTTCAAGGAAAACTCCCTAGTGCTGTTCCCAAAATGACCCAATATTTTCATTGTTCCATTTGTTTAATACTCTTTTTTTTTTTTTTTTTTTTATTAAATAGAGACGGGATTCATCATGTTGGTCAGGATGGTCTCGATTTCTTGACCTCGTGGTCCGTCCGCCTCAGCCTCCCAAAGTGCTGGGATTACAGGCGCGAGCCACCACACCAGGCCCTGTTTAATACTCTCAAACCCAATTCACCTACTGTCTGCTCCATCTTTGAATCATTTCCTATATAAACATATTGGATAGTCTTTTTTTTTTCCGTTTGAGAAGTTGAAGATACCTAAAAACTTTGCTGTTTATTTCCTAAAAACAAGGACATTCTCTTAGGAACCACACAGTACAATGATCAAAGTCAGATCCTAGCCCACAGTCCAGATTTAACTCAAATGTCCTTTGTAGCTTTTTTTATTCTTTTGAGACGGAGTCTTGCTCTGTCACCCAGGCTGGAGTATGGTGGTGCAATCTCGGCTCACTGCAACCTCTGCCTCCCAGGTTCAAGTGATTCTCGTGCCTCAGCCTCCCAAGTAGCTGGGATTACAGGCATGTGCCAGCATGCCTGGCTAATTTTTGTCTTTTTAGTAGAAACTGGGTTTCATCATGTTGGTCAGGCTGGTCTCAAACTCCTGACCTTGTTTGTGATCTGTCGTCCTTGGCCTCCCAAAGTGCTGGAATTGCAGGTATGAGCCATCACACCTGGCTGTTTGTAGCTTCCACCCCCCCCCCCACCCCGTATTAAGGATTCAGTCCAGGATGACGCACTGCATTCGTTTTTGTGTCTACTTTTTTTTTTTTTTTTCTTTGAGATGGAGTCTGTTACCCAGGCTGGAAGACAGTGGGGAGATCTCACCTCACTGCAACCTCGGCCTCCTGGTTTCAAGCAATTCTCCTGCCCCAGCCTCCTGAGTAGCTGAGATTACAGGTGTTCACCACCACGCCTGGCTAATTTTTTTTTTTTTTTTTTTTTTTGAGGCGGAGTTTCGCTCTTGTTGCTCAGGCTGGAGTGCAGTGGCGCGATCTTGATCTCGGCTCACTGCAACTTCCACCTCCCTGGTTCAAGCGCTTCTTCTGCCTCCCCCAGAAGTGCTGGGTCAGTAAACTGAACCTCCCGAGTAGCTGAGATTACAGGCGCCCGCCACCACGTCCAGCTAATATGTTTGTATTTTTATTAGGAATGGGGTTTCACCATATTGGCCAGGCTGGTCTCCAACTCCTGACCTTGTGATCTGCCCACTTCCACCTCCCGAAGTGATGGGTTACAGGCTGAGCCGCTGCGCCCAGTTCGGCCTCTTCAACATCTTCTGCTCTTTTTTGTTGTTGTTGTTTTAAAAAATCTGCGACCCATCCCACCGCCTCCGAAGCCAGGTTATCACCACCTCTTGCCACCAGAGGCTCCTAACTGTTGTCTTTGCTTCCAGTTCACTGTGCAGCAGCAAGGGTGATCTTTTAAAAATGTAAATCGGATCGTGTCACTCTGTGCTTAAAATCCTCCAGTGGCTTCTCACTTGTACTCAGAATAAAATGGAAATTTCTCATCCTGACCTCCAACCCAGCACGATCCAGTCCCTGCCTGCCTCTCCAACCTCACCTTGTCCCACCTTCCCCCTGGGCATTCTGTTCCTGCCACTCAGATCTCGCTTTACTTCCTCAAACATGTTATGCTCTTCCCCAACTCTGTACCCAACTAACTTTTCCTCATTATTGAGTCTTCAAATTAAATGTCACTTGCTCAGAGAGGCTTCCCCTACTCACCCAGCCTACATTAGGGCTCTTTTGTTACTCTCTTTCAGCCTCCAGAGCCTCTGGTAGACTAGGAAGCTATGAGGGCAGAAGCTGGCTATGGTAGGGAGGCTAAAAAAAAAAGGCCGGCGGGAAGGGGAGGGCGCACCGCCCGCTTCAGGCTAGGTCGCGAGGGCTGCGGGCCCGAGCCAGGAAGGACCTTGGGCAGCCGACCGGGAGCCGCGCGTCCCGCCGCCACGGAGCAGGACGACCGGCCTACGCGTTGTGGGCGCTGCTGCTAGGGCTCGTTGCGCGCGGGCCGTTGCGGCTGCAGGTGCCCTCCGTAGTTGTCGGCGAGTGGCAGGCAGGTGGAGCACGTGTTGTCCCTGCTGCGAGGGCTGCCCGGGAAAAATGGTGGATCTGGGCTCTGGCGACGGCAGACCCTGCTGGCAGCCCACGGGTGGGCCATAAGCTGAACCGTGGCTGGCGCACCGCACACCTGGAGGGCCCGCTACGCGGCAGCGTCTGCTATGGCCGCGAGGGTCTCTGGAAGGCGAACCTGAGGGACTGCCGAATGCTCCTGGCCCCTAGCAAGCTCCCGCATCCGGAGGACAAGCTGCCGGCAGAGCTGCCGGGGGGGACCCACTTGGTGTCTGGGCGCTTCCCGCTCCCCACTGGCAGCCTGTGGCCATGGTTGCTGAGGGTCTGGACCAGGTCTGGCCTATGATGTTGCTGGGGGGTGGGCAGGCTGGGGAGGCTGCCTCCTCTCCAATGCCCATGTACCAGGCTGCCCCTGGACCTCGTTCTGCCTCTGTCCCGGGAGTCCCTGTTTCTCAGGCCGGCTGAGTGTTCAGACACAATAAAGACTGTGGGTTCTAAAAAAAATTTTTTAAAAGCTAAGTTCGGTGGTTCATGCATGTAATCCCAGCACCCCAGCGCTTTGGGAGGCTGAGGGGGTGGATCACAAGGTCAGGAGATCAAGACCATCCTGGCTAATAGAGTGATACCTCGTCTTCACTAAAAATACAAAAAAAAAAAAAAAAAAAAACGCTGGACATGATAGCTTGCGCCTGTAATCCCAGCTACTCCGGAGGCTAAGGCAGGAGAATCCCTGGAACCGGGGAGGCAGAAGTTGCAGTAAACTGAGATCAGATGCCACTGCTCCAGCTTGGGCGACAGACCAAAACTCCATCTCAAAAAAGAAGAAGAAGGAGAAGGAGGAGGAGATGGAGATGGAGGAGGAGGAGGAGGAGGAGGAGGAGGTGGTGGAGGAGATGGTGGAGGAGATGGAGGAGGAGGTGGAGGAGGAGGAGGAGAAGGAGGAGGAGATGGAGGAGGAGGAGGAGATGGAGGAGGAGGAGGAGGAGGAAAAACTTACTTTTTTTTTTTTTTTTTTTTTATGATAGCCTCACTCTCACCCAACCTGGAGTGTAGTGGTGAGATCTTGGGTCAGTGCAACCTCTGCCTCCTTGAGTGATCTTCCCACCTCAGCCTCCTGAGTAGCTGGACCACATGTGCATGCCTGGCCAATTTTTGTATTTTTGATAGAGAAGTGGTTTTACCATATTGCCCAGGCTGGTCTCAAAACTCCTGAGCTCAAGCGATCTTCCCACCTTGGCCTCCCAAAGTGTTGGGATTACAGGCAAAACTGGCCTACCTGCAGTTTCAAGTTCATGGAGGTGACTGAATGGAGACTTGGAGAAGCTGATGGCGATTTTTATTACTTGCATTTCCTGAGCAGTGGGGCCACCCACACTATGCAGGGCCACATGAGAAGGCCCTGTGTTCAGTCAGGAGGCAGAGAGAGAGGGGAAAGCTAAGACCAGAGCCTTGACTAGGGATTCTGTGGGAAGGGGAGGAAGGGCGGGGTGAGCAGCTCGGAATGAGCCAGCTTGAAAACTGCCATCTGGCCTTTGTGCTTGGGGGCTGCCCTGGTCACCTGTTCCTGGCCCTGGGTGGCTCAGGCCAGGGGGAGTGTTGGCTTGTTGTTCAGGAATTAGATGAGGACATAGGTCAGAGTATGGACTCTGAATAGAAGCGGTAGGGGAATAGCTGTGGCCAGGAGTTGGGCCGTGTAATTCATGGTTGCCAAGGCGACGTATACAGAATCTAAGAAAACACAGTTGGAACACCCCGGCATTCAGAGAGCAGCCCCGGTCTGCAGACAGAGGGAAGGCCATCAGATTTTGGTCACATCTGTTGCCACCACTCATTCTTTGCTGGAGTGTGCAGAAGGCTGGCGCTGCAGGGTCAATGGTCCCCCTGGGAGCTAGGGGCCATCTCAGGTCTAGCCAAGGCCTGTGACTGCAACTCAAGCCACATCCCCCACTTTCTCCCACCGCCTCCTCCAGGAGCCTCTCCCCTGTTGTCTCCTCCAGGCAGGGAGTCTCAGCCAGAGAGCCTGGAAATGGCTGAGGCTGTGGGGCCCAAGGCTTGCTGTCCAGTTCAGCTCGTGGGCTCTACACCCTCACACTCCTTCCGCCCCCCTTGAAGTTCAGGCAGCACCTGGGGCAGGCCCCCCTCAGGCATCTGGGCTGCCTCAGCCCACTGAGTCCTCAGGATGGGGCTGGCCCCTCGGCTCAGCAGAAGCACCACGGTGGGGCCGTGCCCTCGCTCTGCAGCCAGGTGCAGGGGGGTCTTTCGGAGCCATCCGGCAGCATCCACCTGGGCACCCTTGTCCAGGAGGCAGCTGGCGACCTCCATGTGGCCTTCCCGAGAGGTGTGGTGCAGGGGTGTGAGGCCCAGGGTGTCCCGTGCATCCACCTCAGCTCCCCGGGTAACTAGCAGCTGGACGATGGATAAGTGTCCCCGGGAGGCAGCCCTGTGCAATGCAGAGCGGCCATGCCTGTCCCTGAGGCCTGGGTCTGCCCCATGGCCCAGCAGCACCTCAATGTCCTGGAACAGGAGAGGAAGGCAAGGGCTGGCATCAGCCTGGCAGGTGAGGGGCAGAGCCACTGGGCCTCTCCGGTCCCCCAGTGGCCTGACGCTCCTGGCACCACTTCCTCATGTGGTGAGCGACACCAAACCCAGGACCGGCCTGCATCGGCTCTGCTGGGAAGTCCACTTTTCCCCCTAAGGGTCCTTAGAGCAAATTCAAGTGTCTGCAGCCACCACCCTGCCTGCTGCCTGTGGTAGGGGGGCTCAGGCTCAGGCTGAGAGCTGTCGGAGAGTCTGTTGCTGTCACCAACATAAAGACGGGGGCCGGGCCTGGGGTCCTGCCCTGGTCTCCTCGGGATGGAGCCACACCCAAGGGGCACAGCCGGGCGTCCAGGCCCTTCGAGCGGGGACACTGTCCCCAGCCCAGCCTGCTGCGCCCCCTCCCGTCACTGCCGCAGGAGGGCGGGACGTACCTGCCGGCGGCCCAGGGCAGCCGCCAGACCCAGTGCCGTGGCCCCCGCGCCGTCCCTGGCGTCCACCCGAACCCCGCGTGCCAGGAGGAAGCGCAGCGCCGCCCCTTGCCCCGCCGAGGCCGCCACGAGCAGGGCGCCGTCCAGGCCCGCGCCGCCGGCCGCCAGCAGCTCCAGGATCGCCAGCCGCCCGCCCGCGGCAGCCCAGTGCGCCGCAGTCCAGCCGCGCGCGTCCTCCGCCTCCGCCTCCGCCTCCGCCGCAGGCCCGGGAGCCTCCAGCAGGCGTGCGGCCAGTGCGTGCGGCCCAGGGCGGCGGCCCAGTGCAGCGGCGTGAGGCCCGTTCCGGAGCACGCGGTCGCCGAGGCCCCGCGCCGCAGCAGCAGCTCTGCCACCTGCGAGTGCCCGTGCCAGGCGGCCTCGTGCAGCGCTGTGCGCCCCGCCCGGTCCACAGCGCCCACTGGGGCCCCGCGCCGCAGCAGGAGGCGCACCAGGGGCGTGTGACCCCGCAGAACGGCCAGGTGGAGGGGGGTCCGGCCTGCGTGGTCCCTGAGGGGGCAAGGGCGTCGGCGCCCGGGTGGACCCCTGACCACACCCCCGTCTTGCCCCATCCAGCGCTGGGAACACGGTCCTGCTCCACCCAGAGAAGGGACCCGTGCCACCCACCCTGCCCTAGAACCTCCTCCTACCCCATCCAGAGAAGGGACCCCTCCACCCACCCGGTGCTGGGATCCCCGTCCTACCTCATTCAGAGAAGGGCCCCCTCTGCCCACTCAGTGCTGGAATTCCATCCTACTTCACCCAGAGAAGGGACCCCCCTACCCGCCAGCACAGACGCACCTCTCCTCCACACTGGCCCCTTGCTGCAGCAGCTGCATCACCAGGCCTGCAGGACCCCACCACAAGGCCTGGAGCAGGTGCCCCCAGCCCTGGAAGACACTAGACCCTGCTGTCCTGGTTCCCAGGGCCTCTTCGGAGTCCAGCTCTATCCACTGCCATTCCTGCTCCTCCTCCTCCTCCTCTCTAAGTTCTGGCCTCTGGAAGTCCATCTGGGGGAGCAGGGATCTGCATTCAGCCTGGAAGCCTCTGACTTGCCCCAGCCCAGTGTCCCAAGCCACCCTGGAGCCACACATTCCAATCACCACTTAGCCTTCAGAGGGGCTTGGCTCCCTTACCCAAGGGGGCTGGCCCAGGAGCTCTCTGCTCTGGCTGAGGGTCCTCTAGGCAGGTTCTGGCGCAGACTCAACCTGGTGACCCTCTTCACAAAATCCCTTCTGCAGGCTTTGGGGTGAAGCGTCTGCTGCTGAAAAGCTGAAAGTCGGCAGCTTCAGCCTTGCAGAGGGTGGAAGAACACAGCTAGTCCCTGGGACAGGCTGAGGACACCTGACACTGTTTACCCAGCCACTTAGGAAGGCCCTGCCTTCTGCCTTCAGACCAGCCCCTGCCAAGCATGCTTCCTCCCCTGCTAGCTGCCAGGGTCCCAGCTCGGCTGCCCTCCTGGGGAAAAGGCCAGGGCGGTTGGGGAGGACAAGCAGGAACACGTCCGTGGGCAAAAGCTCCTCAGATCCCACCACCCCCAGGAAGCACAACTTTGGATGTGCCACGACGTGCCCCTGGAAGGCACCCCCACAGACCTCTCCAGGAGGCCCACCCTTGGGCTGCCTCCCTCACCCTCACTCCTGTCCCTGCTGGCTAAGCCCACCCAGAGGTGGGTGCCAGCCCCTCCTCCCAATTCCAGGCTGAGGAGGAGGGCAGGGTAAGGTTCTAGCCTCCCTTTCTGCAAATGCTACACAGGACAAAAGATTCACCAAGAATGCCAGGCAGGTGTCCTGGGGAAGAGGGTGGTGCTGGCGTGGTAGGGACAAAAACTCCTTGGGGGCTGATGGGGAAGTCTGGAGCCAGGGAAGGGACAAATGTCTGGGCAGGGGTGGAGCAGGCCAGGAGGGAGTGTGGGGAGAATAGAATTTAGAGTGTGTCTACATCTTAGAAAAGCCGCTCTGCCAGAGCAAGGCCTGGGTCAGCAGGATTCTGGGGGCCTGGGGTAGGGCGGGTGGGGCTGGTCCTGAGGGCTTCTTCCCATCTCTAAGTACCTGGAGCCAGGCAGGAGAAGGCAGCATGCCTTGTGGGGCGGCTGCAGCAGCCTGGCTCTCCAGCAACTGCACAGGACACGGGAGGGCCTGCCCATTCCCACCCCAGCCGCCTTCAGCCTCCCAGGTCCTCAAGGACTGGGTCTCCTGAGGGCCTTGGCCTGGCCTCCCTCACTCCCTAGAAGGCCGCCTCTCCAAAGGCCCAAAGGGTCTCCAAGCAAGAGACCAGGGGTCCCATCCCACCACCCCAGCCACACAGACCCTGCCCCGAAAACCTTATCGCGTTACTCATCTGTCACCTTCCCAGAGCTGACCACCGATGCACCTGAAGCAACGTGTGCCTCTGACCCTGTTTTAGTTCGTTCTTAGCATTTATCACTACGGGAAAGTATCCATGTGTTTATTTTATTTAAATGTCTGCCTTCCTTTTCTAGAAAGAAAGCTCTGTGAGGCTCCCAAGCATGCTAGGCAAGTGCTGGTCCGAAGGCAGAAGGCAGGGCTTTCCTAAGTGGCTGGGTAAACAGTGTCAGGTGGCCTCAGCCTGGAGCAGGCACCAGGAAAGAAGTGAGGAGCTCTGGGGGCCGGCAGAAAGTCTCACACTCATCAGGGCCAGGGAGGCCACAGAAACTGTCTCATGCCAGCTTCCCAGAGGTACAGAGGCCCAGCAGGCTCCTCCCAAGACTCCCGTCTCCCCTGGGTCCCACTGCAGCAGGGGCAGCCACAGCTGCCTCTACGATGCTTGTAGGACCCACACACAGTGGGGCACAGAGGGCCGAGGCTGCAGCCCCTTTCCTATGGAATCTAAAGAACCTGGAGTGATTCTGCAGAGGCCTTCGAACCAGAGCAGCTCCATCTTGAACAGGGGCTGGGTAAAGTGAGGCTGAGACCTGCTGGGTTGCATTCCCAGGAGATCAGGCATTCTTAGTCACAAGATGAGATCAACACAAGATACAGGCCATAAAGACCCCGCTAATAAAACAGGATGCTGCGAACAAGCCAGCCCTAACCTGCCAAAACCGCCTGCCCCTTTCCTGGAAAACTCAGGAACGAGCCACACCATGTTGGGCACAGGATCAAGAGGCAACAATGAGTGGACTCGGGGGCCAGCCCTTCTCCCATTCCTTTATTTCCCTATTAAACTTGCTTTCCCTTTGCTCACTGGACTTGCCCAGATTCTTTTTTGCGTGGGGTCCAAGAACCCTCTCTTGGGGTCTGGATCTGAACCCCTTTCTGGTAGCAGTCCCTGGGACTCAGTAGCAGTTCAGCAGTGTTTGTTGAATGAAGAAGGGAGGGACCTGGGTGAGGAGACTTAGAAAGCAAGGTTTTGCAACTTTTTAAAACTTTTATCTGTGTTTTTGAGATGGAGTCTTGCTCTGTCGCCCAGGCTGAAGTGCAATGGTGCAATCTCGGCTCACTACAATCTCTGCCTCCCGGGTTCAAGCAATTCTCCTGTCTCAGCCTCCCAAGTAGTTGGGACTACAGGTGCATGCTACCACGCTTGGCTAATTTTTTTTATTTTTATGTTTTAAATAGAGATGAGGTTTCACCTTAGTGGTCAGATTGGTCTTGAACTACTGATCTCAGGTGATGCACCCTCTTTGGCCTCCCAAAATGTTGGGATTACAGGTGTGAGCCATGGTGCCTGGCTGCAACCTTTTTTTTTCAACCCCAAATCACTATCTGAATGAACAAATAGCACTAAAGACCTTGGCGTGTGGGCACCAGTGGAACAGTGGAAACAGTGAAGCTGTGCCATGGGCAACAGGGCCTGGCCTACACTGCAGGGAGGCCTCAGCTGCCCTGCTGGACTTCACATGCCACGTGGTGCCACCGTCTGACCTGTTCACATGTCTGAAGGAAGCGGGCAAGGTGGAGAGGCCTGGAAAGTGTTGGAAGGGATGGAGCCCACTAGGAGAAGTCGTCACAGGGAACAGCTCAGCTCACAGACACCCTACTCCTGAGTGTCAATTCATGATGAAAATGGAGTTTGGGCCCGGTGCAGTGGCCCAGGCTGCCTATAATCCCAGCACTTTGGGAGGCTGAGGTGGGCAGATCATCTGAGGTCAGGAGCTCAAGACCAGCCTGGCTAACACCGTGAAACCCGTTTCTACTAAAAATACAAAAAATTAGCCAGGCCTGGTGGTGGGTACCTGTAGTCCCAACTACTTGGGAGGCTGAGGCAGGAGAATTGCTTGAACCTGGGAGGCAGAGGTCGCAGTGAGCTAAGATCGCGCCATTGTACTCCAGCCTGGGCAACAGAGTGAAACTCTGTCTTAAAAAAAGAAAGAAAGAAAAGAAAAGGGGCCGGGCGTGGTGTCTTACGCCTATAATCCAAGCTCTTTGGAGGCCAAGGCGGGCGGATCACTTGAGGTTGGGAGTTCAAGACCAGCCTGACCAACATGGTGAAACCCCGTCTTTAAAAAATAGATATAAAATAAAATAAAAAAAAGAAAAGGGAATTGGAACTGCCGATGCTGTGCAATAGAGCTGATGTTTGTCAGTGGGAGACAGACAGACATCAGGGACTGTGCCGGGCAAGGGGGCTAACGCCTGTCATCCCAGCACTGTCGGACACCCAGGTGCGCAGAACGCCTGGAGCTCCAGACCAGCTTGGGCAACATGATGAGATCCCATCTCTATAAAAACTACCAAAATTAGCCAGGCTGTCGTGGCAGGTGCCAGTAGTTCCAGCTATTCAGGAGGCTGAGGTCAGAGGATTGATTGAGCCCAGGAGGTCGAGGCTGCAGTGAGCAGTGCCTGAACCACTGTACTGCAGCTTGGGTGACAGAGTAAGACCGTCTCAAATAAATGTCAGAATTGGGAGTCACTTTCGGGGAGACTGATTGGGGTTTTGTGTGGCTGGAAAAAGTTTTGTCCCTGACTGGAAATGATGGAACACAGATTCTCCTCCTGGAAAATCTGCCTTTCCTCTGCTTGGGTTCAGATGCAAGGGTGCCCCGCTGCCTACTCAGTGCCTGCATGTGCAGACCCCACACCCTGTGGCTCACAAGCATCCTGAGGGGCCCTCTCATCCACACTGCAACCCAGTGGAGGACGGGCGAGGTGTTTGGATGAAGGAGCAGTGGGGCCGGGGCTGGGAAGTGGGGTGGGGGCCCGGCCTCCAGGTGGCAGCTACTGCCAGGGCAGCTGTCAGAGTCAAAGCCTTTGAAATGAAGTCTTTGTGTTGGGGAGCTGCAGAGGGGGAGGGTGGGACAAGGAGGGAGGAGGCCCCAGTGGGGAGGGCCCTCGAAAGGCCTGCCCAGAGCATCAGGAGCCGGCAGGGGCTGGAGACTGGAGACTGGCCGGCTGGAGTTGCAGTTGCCTGGCAAAGGGGAAAGAGGTGGGGGTGTGGCTCTGGGGCAGACATCAGGCGGGACCTCCCTAGCCAGGGTGCAGGGTCTGGCTGGGCCTGAGGACGGGCTGCTGCCGGGGGTGGGGTTAAAGATCTTGTAGGGTGGCCCTGGGCAGCTTTGCTCAGTGCCTGAGCACCTACGTCTCCCCGCAAGTCTGCAGCAGCAGGAGCATGAGTGAGCAGGGAAGGGAGACAGAGATGGAGGAGGACGAGGGAGGTGGGGCTTCGGACACAGCACCTATGCTGCCCCGGAGACCTCCCGACGACCAGGCCTCAGCCCTGACATGCCCAGGGTGGCTGGGCCTGGCTGCCCGAGGCCTCGGGCCCCTGCTGCTGCTGGGCCGGCTGCTGGCTGGCCTCCTGCTGCACCTGCTGCTGCCCGCCACAGCCTTCCTGCTGGTGCTCCTGCCCGCAGCGGCCATCGTCTACCTGGGATTCCTGTGCCACTCGAGGGTGAGCCTGCACCCCAGGGGTGGGGGACTTGCTGGGGTCCTGGGCATCCCTGGGGCTGAAGGCCACTGTGCCCCTTCCAGCATCACTCCTTGTCCTCGGAGACACGTGTGCCCCTCCCTGGCAACCCCTTCTTCCAAGCACCCCCACCAACCACAGCCAGAGAAGGGCTTTTGTTTTTCAGCCAAGGGACAGCTCTGTCCCCTCCCCGAGGCCTCCCAACCTTGTACCAGGGGCCACCAGGGCCTGGACAGCTGGGTGGGGGTGGGGAGAAGAGGGAGTTCCAGGAAGAGAAGATGAAAATGTTGTCAAACTTCACTAACCCATAGCCCCCAGCCCCTCCCCAAACACACACAGCCCCTCCCAGGCCCTGCTGTCAGCGCTGGGCTTCACCTGCAGAGTGGGCTGTGGCCTGGTGTGGGGCAGGGACTTAGGCAGATAGCCCTAGACCCCTTTCTGCTGTCATGCGGGCTGGCACCAGCTGGTGCCCAAAGAACTCAGAAGAGCAGAAGCGGGCATAAAGGGCCAGAGGACGCTGTCTCTGAGTTGCCCCTCAAGGGACCTACTTGGCCTTTACCCTCTGAGTCCCAGATCTGTCCACCTGTCAGCATTGCCTGGTCCAACCTCTCCCCGCCCTGCCCCTCCATCGCCGTGGCCCAAATCCTTCATCCCCTCCATCGCCCCCTCCTCTCCCCGCCCTGCTCAGCCCCACCCTGGACCCTCTATCGCCCACTCCGCGCTCTCCCGCCCTGCACCCCACCATCTCCCATTGCTCGGCCACTTCATCCTTTCCCCATCCGGCTACCTCTCCCCTCCCCACCCTCCCATCCATCATCGCCCCGCCCTCCTAGCCCCGCCCCGCCCCCGCTTCCCTCCTTCCACCGCCTCGCCCCCTCCTTACCCCGCCACGCCCCATCCACACCTCGCCACGCGCCCTCCTAGCTCCACCGCGCCCCCTTCTCACCCGCCACGCCCTCCTAGCTCAGCCCCGCCCCCTCATCACCCCGCCCCCTCCTCACCCCGCCCCGCCCGTTCTGCACCCCGCCCCGCCCCCTCCTCCCTCCCTCCACCGCCCCGCCCCGCTCCCCACTGACCGCCCGCCCGGCCCCCAGGTCCACCCGGCTCCCGGCCCCCGGTGCCGCGCCCTGTTCTCGGACCGCGGCTCCGCGGCGCTCATCGCGTTCGGGCTCCTCTCGCTGCCGCCACTGCTGGTGCTCGCCTCGGCCGTCCGCGCCCGCCTGGCCCGACGCCTCCGCCCGCTGCTGCCTCCGCCCGCTTCGACCCCCGGATCCCGCCGCTCCCCGGGGCACCCCGACGGGGAGGGGCAACTCTGCGCCTGGGTTTGACCCAGCAAAACCCCGGGAGGCCTCCGATCGCGTGGCCCGGCCCGGGAGACTGGGTGTCGCGCCCGCTCCTGTCCCCCCGGCTGCGACCCCGGCCTCCTCCGCGCAGAGCCCCGCCCCGCCACGGAGTGGAGGGGAGCACAAGCGGGGCAGGGCCCAGCCCGGCAGGCGGCTCTCCGGAAGGGCTCAGGCCCCAGCCTCAAGGCCTCCCGCACCTGCCCAGGCCCCAGCCTCCAGCGTCCAGGGCTGTGGAGCCCCCTGGGGAGACCCCCAGGCTCGGCCAAGCTTAGGGTTCCAGCAGGGCTCAGCCTGTGGCCAGGCTCGCATTCAGATAGGCACCAGCATCAGTCCACTCTCTCCGGTAGCCTCTGCCATCTCGTCTGTGACTTTGGTGCTCCTAGGAGTGCCTGCTCTTACCCGCCCGGTCAGGTGTAAGCCACTGGTCCACATCGTTCTCAGCTCCGGATCAGGTGTAAGCCACTGGTTCACATCGTTCTCAGCTCCGGAAATCCCTCAACCATGATCTCCAGTTTCACCAGGAATTCCTTCTCCACACCCTCACCTTTTCCTTTTACCCTCCTCATTGTCTCCTCCATCTAATCTGCTGATTAACTCATCCATTTTATCTTAAATTATTACGTTCACATATGCACACCAGGCACCTTGGCTCAGGCCTGCAATCCCAGCACCTTGGGAGGCTGAGGTGGGCAGATCACTTAAGGCCAGGAGTTTGAGACCAGCCTGGCCAACGTGGTGAAACCCCATCTCTACTAAAAATACAAAAATGAGTCAGGCTTGGTGGCGTAATCCCAGCTATTCAGGAGGCTGAGGCAGGAGAATCACTTGAACCCAGGAGGCAGAGGTTGCAGTGAGCTGAGATGGTACCACTGCACTCTATCCTGGATGGCTGAGCAAGACTCGACTCTGTCTCAAAGCAAAAAAAAAGGTTAATATATCTAAAAGTTACATCTGATAGTTTTAGATTTGTATGATCATTTTTTATAGTCTGTTGGTACCTGCTTACTTTTTGAATTACAGTATCCGCATCTTAAACATATTTCACGTATAGTTATTTTATATTCTATGTCAAAGAATTCCAGTTTCCTCGTCTTTGGGGCTCTAAATCTGTGATTGGTTATTTCTACCAATTCTTATCAATACCATGGTGTTTCTCTGAACCTTTGGTAATGTTCAGTTGTCAGCCGTTATGTGTGACAATTCTGAGGCCCAATTTGGGGATGCTTCCCTCCAGAGACTATTCCTCTTTTACACGTGAGACCACACTGCACCCCCTCGGTGACCCTTGAGTCCCCTGGTTTAGCAGCCTCTATGCAGAGAAGCACACTTCTTCCCTGGCCACAGGCTGGCTCTCTGTCCCTGTGTGTGTCTAGGGAATTTTCTGCTTTCCCAACCAGTTCCCTTCACCATCCAGGCCTCCTCACTACTCCATCTGTTTGTTTACTTAGAGACAGGGTCTTGCTCTGCCACCCAGGCTGAGTGCAGTGGTGAGCTCATAGCTCCCTGCAGCCTCGACCTCCTGGGCTCAAGTGATCCTCCTGCCTCAGCCTCCCAAGTACCTGTGGCTACAAAGTGCATCACCACACCCAGCTACTTTTAAATTTTTTGTAGAGACGGGGTCTCATCGTGTTGCCCAGGCTGGTCTCAAACTCCTGGGTGCAAGCAGACCACTCGCCTCAGCCTTCTGAAGTGTTGGGATTACAGGCGTGAGCCACCCCTCTGGGCCTTATTTATTTTTGCTGTTTAATTTTGGGGGAGGCTTGGAGATACTGACTTTCTTGGAAGCCCAGCAGGGGCTATTAAAAATGTGTGCTCACAGTAATTTATCCAGAAGTTGGGTGTAGCTGGAAGGTCTTTTAAGGGATCTAGTACATCATATTGCCAGCAGGGCTCAGCCTGTGACCAGCAAGGTCTGGGCTCCGTCTGGGGCCAGGGTCGAGGCTCATTCTGTGGCCTTGAGCAGAGCCCGGTGTGTGGCTGGGTCAGGTCCAGCAGAAGCCCCAGGGTTTTCCAGCCTCCATCTGAGTCCAGCTTTGATGCCTTTCCTGGTCAGACAGGAGCTGGGCCAGTGGCCAAGCTGCCAGCATGGCTTCCCCTGGGCCGGGCTGCCACCTTCCTTCCCCTCCTGCAACCAGGGATTGCAGATGAGAGCTCTCCAGGGAAGCTCCTGGCAGAGGATCCGCCTGGCCCCAGAGCTGTGAAAACAACAGCTGGGCCCGGTGTGGGTGGGGAGGCTGAACGAGAGGCCGGTTCCCTTGGCTGCTGGGCAGGGGCTTCTGTCCTGCACAGCTGCCTCAGGCACCTCTTTCCAAAGGTGTATCCAGCTTCCCAGGCCCACTCCGAGGCCCCACACCATCAGGGAGGTTGAGGGCACAAAGCAGTGATGCCTGGCCTCAGCCCCAGCTGCATGACCAGCTCACAAAGGAACACCTTCGAGGCCTGTGGGTTGTTCAAAGAGGGGTGTAGGAATGTGCCCTGGAGAGCAGAGGCCTGGCTGCAGAAGAGAAGCCTGGAAGGGGTGATGCAGGAAGGCCAGAGCCCGAGTGCCTGCCGGGCCAGGGGCCCCACCCCCAGGGCAGAAGCAGGCCTGGCCCAGGGCAGAAGCAGGCCTGGCCCTGGCAGCTGGCGGGAGGCCGCTGGTTCTTCCTGGCACTGTCCTTGCCTGGCCTCTTTGGTGGGTGGCCAGGCAAGGACAGCCTCTAAGTGGCTACCTTATTGGCCATCATCTGGGAAGCCAGGAGGGGGCAAGAAATGAGGGGGATGTGGGGCCCTCTTCCAAGGTTCCCCTCCTCAAGGCCCAAGGTATGCAGATGGCCTTCACCCAGCCCTTCTAGCCCTGTCTGGGCAGGACCCCACCTAGACCTCACAAATCTCTCCCAATTTTTGCCCAGCATGGTGCCCATGATGGAAACCACTCCCTACCCTGCTTCAGGGCCCTGGGTCCCCAGGCCCGCCCCCACCCTGAGGGTGCCTCTCTACCTCTTCCCCCAGAGCCCCTCCCCTGACCTGAGGGCCAGGAGCGACCTCCCTCTCCCTGTGTTTCTACTGCAGCTGTCCACTGGCCTGGCGGCCTGAACTCCTTGGGTGGAGGAGCCAGCTGCAGGGTTGCTGTGGGGACCTCTGCCTGACGTTCTTTGCCAATGGCTGGGGCCCCTGCCCCGCCCAAGAGGGAGCCCAGCGTGTTCCTGTGTGTGCATTTGTGCGTGTGTATGCGTGTGCATGTTTGCGCGTGTGCATACATGTACATGTTTGTACGTGTGTGTGCCCGTGGCTGTGCCTGTCCCATCTGCGTCCCCATCATGCCTCATGCTGGGGCAGGGAGGCAGTAAGGACCTCACCTCACTGGGGACTGACTAGGGGTGAGCTTCCCACCTTGCCCTGTCATTTCCTGATTTGGAAAACATTTCCTGGGAGCACAGTTGTTGCTCAAGACTGAGCAGCTGGGGACCATCAGACGTGGCTCTCTGTCCCTCCAGCCTGTGCTGGCCTGCCCCCACCCCCAGGCCTATAAGCTGGGCAGGCTTCAGGGCAGGAACTCCCTGGGGTGAGTAGGCCATTCTGTGGGCTAAGGCCCCTTCTCCCAACCCCACCCTAGCTGCCTCTGGGGAGCCCCCTGTGGTGTGTGGCCAGAGGTCAGTCCCTCCCTGCTGCCTCCTCCCCAGCCCGGTCCAGGCCCCTGGGAGTTTTGGGTCTGCCCAGGGCTGTGGCCTGAGCCTGTCTGGACCTGTCTGGAGAGGGGGTGGCATGTGGTCCTCCTCTCCCTTTCAGGGAGGGGTGTCCCAGCAGAGAGGCAAAGTGAGGGGACCCACACCAGGAAGGGGCTCCGCTGTTGGGACAGGCGGCCACACAGGCTGGAAACCCTGGGACATTAAGGCCCTGCTGTTCCTTCTCTCTGCTGGAAGGCTCTTTCTCGAGTACTCCTTGTGTTCGTGTCCCCAGTAACCCCCTGTTCTCACAGGGAAACAAGTAGACCGCATCTTTTTGCGTGGGCACGGCCCACCCCTCCTAGCCTGGCAGTGCTGGCCCGGCGCCTGCGTGTCCCCAGCATTGAGACTGGGGTGTGGCCGTGCCTAGCACACAGATGACAGACGAATGGACAGACACCCCCTGCCCAGGCTGCTATCCACCAGATGTCTGCCACCCCAGCTGCCACTGGCACGGGGGACTGACTAGGGGTCAGCTCTGGGGCAAGAGGGGCAGGCCTGGGCTCCTGGGAAGTGAAAAGTGAACCCCCGAGGCCCCCAGGACCTGCCCTCAGGCCCTGGCATGTCCTTGACCCCATTGAATAGTTGGGTCTAGGAGCTGGGTGGGCACTGCTCTCTTGGCAACCCCTGCTCTGCCCCACTTACTGTTTGGGAGTTCAGGCACACCCCAGAGCCGTGCCTCAGGCCCGCACCGATGCCCCTCACAGCCCCTTCCCGTCTCTGTTCCCGGGTGTGCATGACATGTTTGTGAGATACACAAAAAACAGCAACAAAAGGCCCTGGCTGTGGGACTGGGCGTTCTGCCCTCGGCTTGGGTCAGGGGTGGGGTCAGAGGCCCCCGGAGTTGCCCTTTTCCCTGGGGTCAAACATGACTACAGCTAGCTGGGGACAAAAGGCCCTTCTTCTTCTGCAGAAGCTGGATTGTGCGGAGGAGGGAGCATTCCCAAAGGCGGGTGGGGGCAGGGGCGGTGCCCAAGTGAGAGCAGCGTCCCAGCTTCCCGGAACCCCCTCCACCTGCCTGCAGACAGACCAGCAGGCCTGGCTGGCTCCAGGAAGTGAGGCAGAGGGACTCCCACAGCCCAGGCCAAGGCTGTGGGGGCAGGGCAGCCACAGCTACTCCAGGCTGCTCTCTACCTGTGGGGCCCCAGCCCACCAGGATCAGGCCGGGGCTGTGCCTGCAGAGGGCAGAGGGCTCGGGTCCAGGACCCACTGTGATCTGGCCTGACCTGCCCTTGCCTCTGTGTGTCTTTCCCCAGGCCCTTCTCCCTGGAGAGTAGAGGCTTCCGGCTGTTATATTTGTGCTTCCTCCACTGTCTGCCTCAAGTCCGGCTGGGGGCCTGACACTGCACCTCTGGCTGACCCCATGCTCCCTGGGACCCTCTGTCTGTCCACGTCTCTCCTCTAGGGTGAAGTCAGTGGGTGGGGAGGGGGATGTGGGAATGAGTGCTGAAGGCTGAGTGACATGGCAGAGCGGAGCATGGGGCAGAGCTGATGGGGTCTCCCAGCAAGAGGGCCTCCAGGCAGAGCTGGGAGCAGGGCAGGTGGCTGAGCTTGGCCCAGGCTGGGTGGAGGCCAGGCCTCTTGTGCCTTCTCCCGCTGATGGTAAGCTGGAGGGAGGAGTTCGGCAGCTTCCTTGAGGGCCTGAGTCACAGCCAAGAAGACCTGCTCACTTTTTCCAGAAGTGAGGAAAACTTCCCCCTCAGCCCAGGAGGGCAGGCCGAGGTGTGACTGCTGGGCAGGGGTGGGGGACAGTGGGCCCTGGCTGTGAGCAGAGCAGCCGCCTACCCATGGTGGGTGGCCAGCTCTCTGCCTACCTGGGTGCCTCCGCTGGGCCTGCAGCTGGCTCCTGGTCAGACCCCAGGTCCTCCAGCTGCTGCTGCCTTGAGCATCATCTCCACAGCAGCCCTGGGGGCTGGGGCCCTGGCGAGGCCCCTCGGAGTGGCACATCTCGAACTCTGGGAACCCAAAGTCCCCGCTCTGGGCCCAGGCGGAAGCATCAGGCAGTCTCTGGTCCCTGCCAAGGCCTGAGGTCTGTGGAGCCCAGCCAGCACCTCTACTGCCAAGATCCCTGGTGGGGGGGCAGGGGGCGCCACGGGGACACAGCTCTCCCTTGTTCCTACCGCTGGCTCCTCAGACTCAGCTCCTCAGCCTGCTGCTTCCTTTTTTAGGCAAAGTAGAGCTCTGGCCGGTCACACGCCCAGGGGTGTCTCACCTGCCTGAAAGGGAGGAAGGAAGGCCACAGAGCCCCATCCGCTCTCCTGCGGCATCCTCCAGGAGAGGGTGGGGAGGGAGGGGACATCCGGGCAGACACCCCCCTATGTCCCCCACCCCTGGCTCTGAGCTGAGGAGGCTCCGGGAGAGGGCCATGGCTACTCTGAGGGAGGGAAGGCTTTGCTTCTTGGGAGGGTCAGGGTGGGGTTCTCCTAAGCCTCAGCTCCTGTGCAAGGGACACCACCAGCCCAGTTCCACCTGAGCCGGGCAAATCTGCCCTGGGGGCCACTGTCCCTCAGGACTCCCCCTGCAGCCAGCCATCTCTAGTCTGGGCCTCGCCAAGACCCCGAAACCCAAGAGCTCCTGGCTCACCAGTGGGCCCCTGTAGTCCTGCTGCGGTGTGTCCTGGGTCCCGGGTCTGGGCCCCTTGTTGGGTAGGGCATATGGGTCCCAGGCCAGGCTGGTCACACTGGACAGGGCCTGAACCAACCATCTCCACTCCCATGCTTCTTCCTCCAAGAAGCCCTGGTAGGGTGGGAGCCTCGAGTCTCTCAAATTCCTGCCTTCTGTCCCCTTCCAAGGCACTGTGTCCTTCTAAGTTCCACCCCAAGGCCCTTCCAATCCCTGCTGGTCAGTCCCTGGGACACATGTCCCAGTCCCTGAGATACCTACCCGCCCCCAGCCCCCACTCCAACGCGGTGGCCAAGGTGAAGCCAGGGCCTGGGCCCGTAGCGGGAACGTGTTTTTTTGGTGCCGCTGTCAGCCCCTGGGGTTCTCTTGGGCCTGACTGCAGGGACCCCAGCACCCAGAGTCACGGCAGTGGCGGGCATGGGGAGGGCCTAGCTTGGGACCTCCCTGCTCAGCTCCCCTGGCTGGGGATCGGAGGTGGGTGGAGACAGCGGGACCCACAGCCTTGGCCAGGGAAGAGAAAGACTGGAGGGTCTGTGCGTGCCCACGCGTGCGTGCCTCGGTCGAATCTCGACTGGTGCTGCGTGTTCCTGCGTGTCCCTGCGTGTTGGGATCCGTTCGCGCGCGCTTCTCCGGAGTCTGCGCACGTGGCCCTCTGCTCGCGCAGGAGGGCGTGGGCATGGCCTCGGCGTGGGTGTGGCTGCTCAGGGCGGGGTCTCCCGGGGGCGGGGCCGGCCTGGTCCGCGCCGCGACGCGCCCTGCAGCCCCGAACGAGCAAGCTGCCCACCGCGCCCCGTCCCTCGCGCGCGATGCTCCCCTGGACGGCGTTTGGCCTGGCCCTGAGCTTGCGGCTGGCGCTGGCGCGGAGCGGCGCGGCGCGCGGTGAGTGCGGAGGGTGGGCGGCCCGGCTGGGGCTGGGGCTCCTGGTGCCCGCTCTGCGCCGCTGCCAGCGCAGGGCCGTCGCTATCCCCGCTGTGGGAGGGTGGGCAGGCGGGGAGGCTGCGGGAGCCGGGCCCGGGCGCTGGCGGAGCGTCCTGCTCACCTGCGGCGGGCGGCCCAGGTGCTCCGGGCAACACCGCCCGTGAGTCCAGGGGCGTAGGGGCCGCCTGGCCCGCGTATCTGCGGGACAGGAAGAGGGAGATGATGTCCGTCCAGGGGCCTCCCCTGCCTCAGTTTCCCTACCCTTGAGAGGACCCTTAGTGAAGGGATGGTAGGGAGGTTGGAGTCGCCCCATGCACTGGGGAAAAGCGCAAAGCCCAGACTAGAATTGAGGCACGCTGGTGCCCTGGCTCCGTGGGGAGGGGGTTGGGGGAGCTTAAGCCCCACGCCTGGGGTGCCGGGAAGAAGGCGGAAGCCTGCGAGGGGTTGGTCATGCTTTCAGGCTGCTGGTGGGTGTATCTTGCTGTCTGAGTCCAGAGGGGCTGGAGGATGGAGACCAGGGGAGGGACACCACTTGTTAGGTGGGGTCTGGGCTCCGGCCTGGCCATCCCAGAGTGCTTATTGCTCAGCCTCCAATACCCTCCCCTGCTGCCCTGGATGCTGAGCAGTGGCTGAACTCCAGCCTCAGGCCGCTCCTCTGAAAGCCATGCCCAGAAGGAACAGCCCCGCTGCCCAGGCCCATTGTCACCACCTGCTTGCAGGGTGTGAGGAATGGGAAGGTGTGGGGCTTGGAGTGGTGAGTCATTCTCTCACAGATCAGATACCAGCCCAGAGAGAGCCCTAGGCCCCATGGCCAGTGTGTAGAGTGAAACCCCCAAAAGCACAGGCCTCTTGCTTGGCTCAGAGTTCCTCTTTCCCCCAACCTGGGACCTGTGGGTGAGGGCAAGCACTCACTTAAGGAAAGCTGAGGCCCTGGGGGACCCCGCCTTGGTGTGGGTCTGTCTGGGGGCCCACACCTGAGGCTGAGCACTCCTTTCCCCCAGGTCCCCCAGCATCAGCCCCCGGAGGAGACCTGATGTTCCTGCTGGACAGCTCTGCCAGCGTGTCTCACTACGAGTTCTCCCGGGTTCGGGAGTTTGTGGGGCAGCTGGTGGCTCCTCTGCCCCTGGACACCGGGGCCCTGCGTGCCAGCCTGGTGCATGTGGGCAGCCGGCCGTACACTGAGTTCTCCTTCGGCCAGCACAGCTCAGGCAAGGCTGCCCAGGATGCGGTGCTCGCCTCGGCCCAGCGCATGGGCGACACCCACACTGGCCTGGCCTTGGCGTATGTGAAGGAACAGCTGTTTGCTGAAGCAGCAGGTGCCCGGCCAGGGGTGCCCAAGGTGCTGGTGTGGGTGACAGATGGCGGCTCCAGTGACCCTGTGGGGCCCCCCATGCAGGAGCTCAAGGACCTGGGCGTCACCGTGTTCATAGTCAGCACCGGCCGAGGCAACTTCCTGGAGCTGTCGGCCGTTGCCTCAGCCCCTGCAGAGAAGCATCTGCACTTTGTGGATGTGGATGACCTGCACATCATCCTCCAAGAGCTGAGGGGCTCCATTCTCGGTAAGCGGGACGAGGCAGGGTCCAGGGGGCCCTAGCTGGGAGCCGCAGGAGGAGAGGCTGGGTTGAGACTTGGGGAAAATCTCTGGTCTGCAGAGCAGCGGCCAGGGCCTTGGGGCTGCGGTGCCTCTGGGGTGCAGGGCTGATCGAGCAGCTTCTCTGCATGCTCTCCACTGGGTGACCCAGGCGCCGTACTGAGACGAGGGCAGGCTGGAGTTGCCACTTCAAGGCGTAGCGCCCTGCTGACCGGTCCAGCCCAGACCTGGAGGCCCCATGGAGAAGCTTCCCAGGCTGGGAACTCTGCAAGTGGGGAACACGTACTCCTGTGCATGTTCACCGCATCTGGAGCAGGGAGAGCCAGGAAGGTTAGACACTGCCCCCCAGAGCACAGGGCAGCTCTCCCGGGTGGGGACAGCCACTGAGGGCTTTGAGCTGCTTTGGACTGCAGGCCCACTATGAGGATTTCCTGAGAAGCCAGACCAGGGAAGGCCTGAGGCAGGAGCTGAGCAGCTCCATTGGCTTTTTTCTGGACCTCCCTGCCCCAGCTGGACCCTGAAGGAGACGGGCTGGAGAGGAGGAACCTGGTCACTGGCTCGGCCGGCTGTAGCCACTGACATGCCACTAACCACGGTTCTCACCAAGTCTCCGCCTGTGGGTTAATCATCCACCCAGAGCCAGAAGGGGTTGGATTGTGGGTTGGGGAGAGGTGGAGGGCCTTCCCCAGGGACGTCTGACCCCTAGTGGCCCCCTGGGTCACCTAGCACAGCTGGGCCTGGCGAGGACCAGGACGAAAGGGTTCCTTCAGCAGCCAGGAAAAGCCAGAGGCTACAGTGCAGAGGGGCCAGGCAGCAGGGTGGGGGCTTGTGGAAAAGGGGCATGGTCTGAGGGTGGGGGGTGGGAGGAAAGTGAGCCAGGCACCCAGCACTACAGGAGGGTCCTGATGACTAACCCAGCGCAGACATTTCTGAGCCTCACCACAGCAGGGTCACTCAGGGGCCATGTGGGGCTTGGCGTCCCAGGCCCAGGAATCTCCCTCTGGAGTACCCCACCCCACACTCTCCTGGGGACCCGGGGCAGACAGGGCCTGCAGCTCAGGGAGCCAGGCTGAGCTCTCACCTGGGCCTGGCCACTTGGGCTGGGGCTGGTCCTCTGTTCTCAGGCACCACCTTTGACCCTGCCATCGGTGAGGACCTTTGTCCTGGTCACTGATCTGGCCACTGCAGCTCTCCACAAAGGACTGGGATTGGGGCTGAGGGAAGCAGGGGTGCTTCTGACTGGGTCTGAGGGGGCTACACCCCTTCCTCCTTCCTCCTCCAGCCAAGGCACATTCTGAGAATCTGCAGCATTGGCCGAGGGGCCCCACCTTTCCTAGTGGGGCCTCCAATCTCCAGAACTTCCGCATCAGTCAGGGCTGCCCTCCAGGTGCGGAGGAGGAACTGACCCCTGTCTTCTGACCCCCGGCACCACCCACAGACGCGATGCGGCCGCAGCAGCTCCATGCCACGGAGATCACGTCCAGCAGCTTCCGCCTGGCCTGGCCACCCCTGCTGACTGCAGACGCTGGCTACTACGTGCTGGAGCTGGTGCCCAGTGCCCAGCCGGTGGCCGCGAGACGCCAGCAGCTGCCAGGGGACGCCACAGACTGGACCTGGGCCGGCCTCAACCCGGACACGGACTACGACGCGGCGCTGGTGCCTGAGTCCAACGTGCACCTCCTGAGGCCCCAGCACCTGCGAGTGCACACGCGGCCAGCTGAGGTGGGGCCGAGGGTCGGGGTCCCGGAGTCGGGGGCTGACCCGGCCCCCACCCAGCCCGCGGCCTTCCCCGCCCCGGCGGAGGCCGGCCCGGAGCGCATCATCATCTCCCACGCGCGGCCGCGCAGCCTCCGCGTGAGCTGGGCCCCGGCGCTGGGTGCGGCCGCCGCTCTCGCCTACCACGTGCAGTTCGGGCCGCTGGAGGGCGGCGCGGCGCAGCGCGTGGAGGTGCCCGCGGGCCGCAACTGCACCACGCTGCAGGGCCTGGCGCCAGGCACCGCCTACCTGGTGACCGTGACCGCCGCCTTCCGCTCAGGCCGGGAGAGCGCGCTGTCGGCCAAGGCCTGCACGCCCGACGGCCCGCGCCAGCGCCCACGCCCCGTGCCCCGCGCCCCGCGCCCCCACGCTGGGGGCCGCGAGCCGTGAGCCGTGAGCCGGCGTGCCCGCCCCGCCGAGAGGGCCAGCGCCAACCTGTGGGCCCGTGTCCCGAACCCAATGCGGAGGCGCCCAACGTCGAGGTTTTGCCCGGGAGACGACGGGTACAGGCCCGGCCTTTACCCACGTGGACCCCGGGCAACCCAGGCCCTCTCTCTCCCCGCGGCCGCAGGGCTCCCTGCCTGGCGCCTGACCTCCAGGGCTCGGGCCTCGCCTGGAGGGACCTCGCAGCAGCTCCGGCCCATCCCTGCCCAGAGTCCGTCGTGGTGTGGACCCGTGGGTGGTGTTGAGAACATCAGAGATAGGACTGTCCAGGGAGGAGCCTAGTCAGACTCCCACGTGTGAAGTAGGCCCAGCCCCAGGTGGCAGGGCTGGCCTGGGGGAAGGCAGCTTGGGCCCTGTGTGTTGGTAGAAAGTGGAGGGAATCATGGCAGAAGCTGGCCCAGGTCAGGTCTCCAAAGGCTTCTGGAGAGAAGGGCGGGCGGGTAGGAGCACCGGGACGCTGATGGTGTGGCCAGCAAGCTCAGGGGGCCCGGAAGGCAGTGCCTGCTGGGCACGGTGGCCCTGCCTTCATTCCCAGGACGCCAGCTGGGTCCAGCTAGCAGCCACTGGGAAGCACAGGAATGGGGCAGAGCCAGGCATTCAGGACCTTGTGGACAGGAGGCAGCCCCCCCACCGGAAGCCTCCCCTATGGGGGGGCACTTCCCAGGGCTGCAGGGAGGATGCTGTCCAGGGAGATGAGGTCTCACCATTCGTGGAGGTCCCAGTGTCCTCTTTTGGCTGTGAGGGGTCATACTCACTGCCCTGGGGCCCGAGGGCGAATCGTCCAGGGTGGGGGTGCCTGGCTAGGTGCATCCCCCACCCCCCCCAGGACCGCAGCATCATGCAATGCTCACCTCGACTCTTCCCCACTAACGTCCCAGACTTTACAATCCAGTAAATCAGATGTACACCCAGCCTGCAGTCTCGTTAAGATGCTTTACTCATCCACAAATACACCAGCCATGGACAGGACGGCTGGTGAAGGTCTCCATCTGTTGGGGTGTCTGGGGAGAGGAGATGGAGCTATCCCCTCCCTGGACCAGGTCTCCTTGGTCTCTCTGTGCACCTTCTATTCACGGAGCCTGGGCCCTTCTCCTAGGGCTTGGCCTGTGGCAAGTGGCTGGAATGCAGAGGACAGGGGGCTGGGCCCTCTCTGCAGGGACATTCCCACCGCAGCCTCTGCAGCCACCCACAGCCCTGGGCCCAGCCCCGCGAGGGCTCCCTCTGCTGGCAAAGCCGCACTCTGCACCACGTGGTCTCCCCTGCCCCTTTCCCCACGTGGACTCCGCCTGACCCCAGGAACTGCAGCATTGAGGTGGTCTCAGTCCCTCTCTTGGACCTGGTGGGCGTTGTGCCAGGGGCCACCTTCACGACATCTGGCCTTGGCACGATATACTCAGAACCCGGCTCTGTGCATCTCGTAGCCCCACTGGACACCCAAGGCTGCACTGCCCACTGGCTGGGTGTGGTCACCATTCGTGGAGGGCCAGCTGGGGTCAGGCTCACCACCCAGAGTTTGCCCTCGTGTATGACGATGCCTGAATCATGGGATGCCCCCTGCCTGTGTGTGCACTGGGTGTGGGTAGGGGGACTCTGCTGGCTGGTCATTGGGGTTCTCCTGAGCTCCCCTCAACCCCCAAGTCAGGCCACGGAGGCCTGAGCAGGACCCGTGGGCTGTGTGTTGCTGCTCACAACTGCACTGCTGGTCAGCAGGTGGCCAGGGTTGCAGGCCTGGGACTTGGCCCCACCTCCTCTCGAGGGCTAGAATCTCCTGCATGCAGCCTCTGCCCCCACCCTGATCTCCAGGATAATGACAGATCTGAGCCCATGGTTACCCGAGAGGAGATGCCCCCTTGCACTCTGAGCCCAGGGCCTACCAGAGCACCCTGCGGGTGGCTGCAGAGCACCGGAGGCTCATTCCTGACAGTCAAATTCATGGATAAGCTCCACCTCTGTAATCCCGAGGGCAGAGCCAGCAGGGGAGGGGGCCAGCCACAACCCTGCTTCCTCATACCAGGCTGGCAGAGGCTCTGCCTCCTCTCTGCTCATCTCTGGACACCAAGGCCCAGCACAGCACAAGACCTCACGGGGAGAGTGAAAAGGCACTGCCACCTCCATCTCCATGCCAAAGAATGCCCCTTCCTGAAGCCCTCGTGAGAAGTGCTGCCCTTTATGTAGCCCCAAGCATTTTAAAGTCTTTGAATCTGGGGGTCTGGGTGCGGTGGCTCATGCCTATAATCCCAGCACTTGGGAGGCTGAGGCGGGAGGATCACCTGAGGTCAGGAGTTCGAGACCAGCTGACCAACATGGAGAAACCCCGTCCCTACTAAAAATACAAAATTAGCTGGGCGTGGTGGCAGGCACCTATAATCCCAGACACTCAGGAGGCTGAGACAGGAGAATCACTTGAACTCAGGAGGTGGAGGTTGCGGTGAGCCAAGATAGTGCCATTGCTCTCCAGCCTGGGCAACAAAAATGAAATTCCGTCTCAAAAAAAAAAAAAACAAAAAACAGGAGACACACAGCTAGTACACTGGAGCTGGAACTGATCTTCCTAAACTGTCCCCTCTCCAGCAGAAGGCTGTCATGTGGGCTGCGCTTTGGGAACTGGACTTGGTTTATTACGGTCACTATGGAAACAGGGAGGCAGCAAGCTTCCCTGGGTGGTTCCTGGCAGTGTGGCCCACTCTTGGACACCCCACCTCAGAAACCTGCACTCAGACCCCAGGTGTAAGAGCCCTGTGCCAAAATTACAGGTGTAAGACACCACACCTAGCAAATTTCTTTTTAGGAGTATTGCTGTGTTACCTAGGCTGCTCTCAAACTCCTGACCTCAGATGAATCTCTTGCACTGGCCTCCCGCAGTGCTGGGAGTGCAGACAGGAGCCACGGCACTCGGGCTACCTGCTTCTTCTGTTTGCCTCTCATGAATCAGTGCACCCTGGGGAGCCCTGGCAGGGGTGACAGGTTTCAGGCAGCCCTGCTTCTGGTGGGTGCTGGGAGGGACCAGCAGCCCAGGGCCCTACACTGGACACTGTGGCTCAGGAGGGCCACGCTGGGAGCTCTTGTCGAGGCTGTGCCAGGGCCTGCCCACTGGGGAAGAAGTCCATGCTGGCTCAGACTGAGACGAGAACTCGTGGGTCCTTTTGGAAGCTGGAGAGAAAGAATGGGAATGGGACCAGCCCCTCCCTCCTGAAGGCTGGGCCCCCTGAGAAGAACAAGACTGCAGAGATGTGGGGGGCTAGCAGTGAGCTTGTGACCACACTCTCAGGTGTAAGAGGGCACACTTCTGCATGGGCATTGTCCGTGGAAGACACGTAGCAGGCCACTGCAGCCTGGGTCCTGGGAAGCCCTGGGGCGGGGTCACTGGGGGCCGGAGGCCACATTGGGAGGCCACTGTCCTGGCATACCATGCAGCTCCCTGTCCCCAGAGGTTTGGTCAGATGCAGAGAGCTCAAAAATGCATGCACTGCCTGGATTCTGGGAGTAGAGCGCTTCATCCACTGCCTGGGTAGGGCTACTCTGGGACTCCAGTCCCTGTTCCTGCTGGCCATGGCTTCTGGAGGCAGCTGGGTCATGGTCTAGGCTCAAGGTCGGGCTGGAGGCCAGGCTCTCCACCTGCATCTTCGACTGCACGGTCACTCCTCCAGGTCTTCAATGCTGGAGGACTCTCCAAGACAGGAAAACTTTGCTTTCGGGGCAGGGCTGGGTGCTGGGGTGGGTGGAGGAATCCCATCAGCAAGACAGCACAGTGCAGTGCAGAGAACCTCATACCTGTCAAGTGAACATAAAATGCTTTCTTAACTTTGTGTCCTTAGGAAGGGGAGGGGTGTTGGTTTAAGGAGCAAACAGAAGAGCACCCTCGGCATTCAGCTCCACCGCAAGGAGACCCCTGGGACCTGCCACGCCTAGAGAGAGGCACTTCACCTCTCCTTGCTCTCTTTTTCCTTTTAGAGGCAGGTTCTTACTCTGAGCCCAGGCTGAATGCAGTGCTGTGATTATAGCTCACTGCAGCCTCAACCTCCCAGGCTCACGTGACCCTTCTGTGTCAGCCTGTCCAGTAGCATGGCCCCACAGGGTCCTAATTAGCCCCAGAGGCCTGCACCACCACGCCCAGCTAATTTAAACAATTTGTTGTAGGCCAGGTGTGGTGGCTCATGCCTGTTATCCCAGCACTTTGGGAGGCTGAGGTGGGTGTATCGCCTGAGGTTGGGAGCTGGAGACACCAGCCTGACCAACACGGAGAAAAACCGTCTCTACTAAAAATACAAAAAGCTGGACGTGGTGGTGCATGTCTAATCCCAGCTACTTGGGGGGTAGGAGAATTGCTTGAACCTGGGGGGTGGAGGTTGCGGTGAGCCGAGATCGTGCCATTGCACTCCAGCCTGGGCAACAAGAGTGAAACTCCATCTACTAAAAATACTAGTCAGGTGTAGTGGTGCATGCCTGTAATCCCAGCTACTCAGGAGCCTGAGGCAGGAGAATCCCTTGAATCTGGGAGGTGGAGGTTGCGGTGAACCAAGATCTCGACACCACTCCAGCCTGGGCAACAAGAGCAAAACTCTGTCTTAAAAAAACAAACAAAAGAAAAAGCCATGTGTCGTTGCTCACACCTGTAATCCCAGCACTTTGGGAGGCTGGGGCTGGTGGAACCCTGGAAGTCAGGAATTTGAGACCAGTCTGGCCAACATGGTGAAATCCTATCTCTACTAAAAATATAAAAATTAGGCCAGTATGGTGGCAGGTGTCTGTAATTTCAGGCACTCAGGAGGCAGACGCAGAGAATCACTTGAACCTGGGAGGCAGAGGTTGCAGTAAACCGAGACTGTGCAATTGCACTCCAGCCTGGGCAACAAGAGTGAAACTCTGTCTCAAAAGAAAGAAAATTAGCCGGGCCTGGTGGCACGTGCTTGTGGTCCTAGCTTCTTGGCTTGGAGGATGAAGTAGGAGGATCACCTGAGCACAGGAGGCAGAGGTTGCAGTGAGCTGAGATTGCACCATTGCACTCCAGCCTCGAGAACTAGACCTGTCTCTAAATAAGTAAATCAAATTGGCCGGGCGAGGTGGCTCACACCTGTAATCTGAGCGCTTTGGGAGGCCGAGGCGTGTAGATCACCTGACATCAGGAGTTTGAGACCAGCCTGACCAACATGGTGAAACCTCATCTTGACTAAAATACAAAAAAATAGAAAAATTCGCTGGGCATACTCTGGTTTCTCTTCAGATCAAAAAATGAGCTGGGCATGGTGGCAGGCACCTGTAATCCCATTCACTTTGGAGGCTGAGGCAGGAGAATCACTCGAACTCAGGAGGCAGAGGTTGCAGTGAGCCATCGTGCCACTGCACTCCAGCTTGGGAGAGAGTTCCAGACTCCATCTCAAAGTAAAATAGAACCAGAGACTTGATGACAGCCATGTTGGTGGGGGGGGGGGGCATCTGGCTTTCGCAGCAGAACTCATTTGCTTTTTCTTTTTTTGTAGAGATGGGGTCTCTCTTTGCTGCCCAGGTTGGTTTCCAACCCCTGGACTCAAGAGATCCTCCTGCCTCGACCTCCCAAAGTGTTGGGATTATAGGTGTGAGCCACTGTGCACAGCCCTTTTTTTGGAAACGTCTTGCTCCCCCAGGGTGGAGTGCAGTGGCACAATCCTGGCTCACTGTAACCTCCACCTCAGGGTTCAAGCAATTCTTGTGCCTCAACCTCCGGAGTAGCTGGGGTTACAGGCGTGCGCCACCACGCCCAGCTAATTTTTGTATTTTTAGCAGAGATGGGGTTTGACCATGTTGGCCAGGCTGGTCTCAAACTCCTGTCCTCAGGTGATCCACCCACGTCAGTCTCCCAAGGGGTTGGGATTACAGGCGTCAGCCACTGTGCCTGGCCGGCAATTTCCGGTTTTCTTTCTTTTTAACATGGAGTTTCACTCAGTTGCTCAGGTTGGAGTGTAGTAGCACAGTCTCAGGCTCACTGCGACCTCTGCCTCCTGGGTTCAAGTGGTTTTCCTGTCTCAGCCTACTGAGGTGCTGGGATTATAGGTGCCTGCCACCAGGCCCGGCTAACTTTTTGTATTTTTAGTGGAGACTGGGTTTCACCGTGTTGGCCAGGCTGGTCTCCATCTCCTGACCTCATGATCCACCCACCTCAGCCTTCAAAAGTGCTGGGATTACAGATCACAGACGTGAGCCACAGTGCCTGGCCCTGGCCTGGTTTTTCTCTTCATCTGGTGAAAACAAAATCACAGAATTACTCTAGGATTTTGATTTTTTTTTCCTATTTTTATTGTTATATGTGAATTTTAGGTGCCGCAAAAGAAGCAGCACTCGAATGTAATTTTTTTTTTTTATTTGAGAGTCTTGCTCTGTTGCCCAGGCTGGAGTGCAATGGCTCGATCTCGGCTCACCGCAACCCTGGCCTCCGCCTCCTGGGTTCAGGCAATTCTCCTGCCTCAGCCTCCTGAGTAGCTGGGGTTACAGGCACGTGCCACCATGCCCAGCTAATTTTTTGTATTTTTAGTAGAGACGGGGTTTCACCATGTTGACCAGGATGGTCTCGATCTCTTGACCTCGTGATCCACCCGCCTCGGCCTCCCAAAGTGCTGGGATTACAGGCGTGAGCCACCGTGCCCGGCCCTAGGCTAATTTTTTTATATTTTTAGTAGAGACGCAGTTTCTCCATGTCGGTCAGGCTGGTCTAGAACTCCCGACCTCAGGTGATCCATCCGCCTCAGCCTCTCAAAGTGCTGTGACTGAAGTGGTTTGGTGGGAAAAATGGATGTGGAACAGGTAACTAAAGGTGACTCAGGTCAAAGCAGGTGATCAGGATGAGTCAGGAAGGAGCAGGGGACCTGGGAACAGATGTGAACTACGTAGAACTGGTGGAAGAGGCTGTGTATTGAAACCATGAAGAAATTAAAGTTTAAAATGGAGGACAAAGAACTGAACGTACTGACAAACTGATTCTTTGAAAGGAAATTTAGAACTCATTGTATCCAACATTATTCAGGCTTAAAATAGTTTCCAATCCAGTGGGAAAAGTGACTCCACGTAATTCTGCGAAGTCAACCAGTTCCATTGAGGAGAGAGCCGGGAGCTGGGAGCGCGCGGACCGTGGGCTCCGGGGCGGCGCAGCTCGGGCGCCCCGTCCCCGCACCGCAAGAGGAGCTCGCCGGCCGCGCCCCGCGAGCTGCGGAGCCACCGGGGAGGGGAGGAGGCGCGCGCGTCCCAGCTCCTCCTCGGGCGCCTCCCGTGAGCTCCCGGCGCCGAGACCGTCTCGGGTGAGGCTCCCGCGGCTCTTTCCTGCATCGGGGACTCACCGCGGGGCGCCCCGCCGCAAGCGTCAAGAACCGTGGTGCCGCCTGGACATTCGCCTCCAGTAGCCGCCAAGGCCGGAACTGTGCGGCGCAGCCAACAACCCCGGCGCCGTTGCGCAGCGGAACTGACGTTGCCCCTGGTTCGCGCACGTCCTCGGGAATTTTGTCCCGGCCTAGCTCCCGTAGCCAGACGCTTCACCTCGCTTCCCCCCTCCCCCGGCCGGCTCCCGGCCCCCGGTTCCCCCCGGCCTCCGGCTGCCGCCCCCCCAACTCCCGCGCCTGAGCACGCTCGGGCAGTCCTGGGGTCACGGTCCTCGCGGCCAATCCGAGCGCCGCGCTTCGCGTGTCCCTTAAGCGCTTCCGGCGCCGGGAGGAAGGGGTGTGTGCGGCGTCCGCTGAGTCCCGGCCGCCGGCTCCCGGCACGTGGAAGCTGCTCCCCGCCGCGCGCGAGTCACACTGGCGTTGCGGTCCCGGCGGCGGGGGTCATGTCGTGGCTCTTTGGCATCAACAAGGGCCCCAAGGGCGAAGGCGCGGGGCCGCTGCTGCCCTTGCCGCCCGCGCAGCCCGGGGCTGAGGGCGGCGGGGACCGCGGCTCGGGAGACCGGCAGGCGCCCAAGGACAAATGGAGCAACTTCGACCCCACCGGCCTGGAGCGCGCCGCCAAGGCAGCCCGCGAGCTGGAGCACTCGCGTGAGTGCGGGGAAGCGGGGGCGCGGGCCGGGCGGGGGAAGCGGGAGCCCCTCCGCAGAGCCCCGGCGCCTGCCCGGCATCCCCGGACATCGGGCCCTTGCTGCGCCTCGCGGCTGTCGGCTGCCGGCTGCCGTTTCCCAGGCGGGACTGCGCCCCCGGAGCCCACCCGGCCGGAGCCGTCTCGCGTGCCGGGAGGATCGGACTCTTTCCGTCACCCTTTTGCGCCTCTCCGGCCGTCACGAGCGCGTCAGGTGCGGAAAACGGTGCGGAGGTGGCGCTCAGAGGTTACCGGTGTCCGGGCTGGGGCCGGCCCTGGTCTTCAGTTAGCGTCGAGCGCGTGGCATCCTTCTGCTCTTGCTGCCACCCCACGGCACATGCCAAGGCGTGGCCGGACCGGTAGTTGGGTTTGCTTGCTGGTTGCTAGCCATTTCCACATAACAAGGGAAGCATATTTGAGAGTTATTTTGTTCTTGGCCGGGCGCGGTGGCTCACGCCTGTAGTCCTAGAACTTTGGGAGGCCGAGGCGGGCGGATCACCTGAGCTCAGGAGTTCGAGACCAGCCTGACCAACATGGTGAAACCCCGTTTCTACTAAAAATAGAAAATTAATCGGGCATGGTGGCTCATGCCTGTAATCCCAGCTACTCTGGAGACTGAGGCAGGAGAATCGGTTGAATTTCGAAGGCGGAGGTTGCGGTGAGCTGAGATCACGTCATTGCACTCCAGCCTTGGGCAACATAAAAAAAAAATTATTTGGGGCTGGGCACCGTGGCTCACGCCTATAATCCCAGCACTTTGGGAGGCCGCGGCGAGTGGCTCACTAGGTCAAGAGATCGAGAACATCCTGGTCAACGTGGTGAAACCCCGTCTCTTCTAATAATACAAAATTTAGATGGGCATGGTAGTCCCAGCTACTCGGGAGGCTGAGGCAGAATTGCTTGAACCCAGGAGGCGGAGGTTGCAGTGAGCCGAGATCGCGCCATTGCACTCCAGCCTGGGTAGTAAGAGCGAAACTCCGTCTCAAAAAAAAAAAAAAATTGTTTGGTTCTAACTAGAGTGTAGCAGGTTTGCACTTATTGGAAGACCTTAGCGTTTGCAAGGCTCTCAGGTGTGAGCACTGACCACATTCCCAGAGCTCGGGGCTCTTCCCCAGCCTTCCTTTCTCCTGTGGCTTTAATCACAATGTGGTTTAAACGCCTAGGAGCATCGAACGTGGAAGGTGTTGAATAAGTATTGATTGAAAGAATGCGGGGGTTCCTTTTCAAAAAGATCCTTCAGGGAATACATGGTGGGAAGCACTTTGGGTAAAGCAGATAGAAGCAGAGTTTTCCTGTTTATGGAGGGGAAGACCTGGAGGGTTGACACTTGTGGATCCGTTCCCTGCCCTTCCCTGGGGGCTATGGGAACATCCTGAGCAGAGGTCTCTGGGCCCGGCTGGGTTTCAAAACCCCAGAGGGACATTCAGGTTTGGGCCCAGGCCCAGGTCACCATCAGTCCCCATAGCTGGGCGCCACTGCCCCTGCGTGTTCTGTTTTTAGGAGATGGGGGTCTTGCTTTGTTGCCCAGGCTGGTCTTGACCTCGTTGGCTAGAAGTCCTCCAACTGCCTCAGCCTCCTGAGTAGAGGGGACTACAGACTTGTTCTGCCCAGGCTGGAGTGCAGTGGCGCTATCTCCGCTCACTGTAACCTCTGCCTCCTGGGTTCAAGCAATTCTCCTGCCTCAGTCTCCAGAGTAGCTGGAACTACAGGCGCCCGCCACCATGCCCAGCTAATTTTTGTTTTTAGTAGAGACAGGGTTTCACCATGTTGGCCAGGCTGGCCTCAAACTCCCGGTCTCAGGTGATTCGTCCGCCTTGGCTTCCCAAAGTGCTGGTATTACCTGCGAGAGCCACTGCTCCTGGCCATGCTCCAGTAATTGTAATGATCAGGTGAGGAAGAGAGTCAGTGGCTGTACCTCAGGGCACCTTGGAGGACAGCGGAGTTTGGTGACTGACTTTCTTGTTGCCACCTTATTTGGAGGGTTCCTTTCTGTCCTAGTTCTGGGGCTTTTCACCTGCTAACATCACCTAGAGATTGAAACTTCTCCCACATTCAGAAGCTGAAGCTTGGTTATCAGCCCCGGCCCCTGCAGTGTCACAGGCCTGTGTCAGCAACCGAGGGCCTTCCCATCGTGCGGACCTGTGCGTCTGAGTTGGTCCAGTCCTGGCTGCCCCAGAGCTCCTGACCTGCCAACTCCTCTGCCCAGGTTCCCAGGGCCTTGGCCTGCCCTTTCTATGATGGAGCGGGGCCTGTGACAGGGTCTCCAGGTGCACCGTGGGGAGCCTCCGCCAGTTTCTGTTTCCTGTGGAACCTTCTAGGAGTCAGTGCTTTCATTTTTATTCTTTTCCTCCTGGCCTCACGCTGGCTGGTGAGAGGCTTCTCCATAGTTTGCCTCCCCCTCTCCATCCTGGACCTCTTTTTCCCAGGGTGCTCCCTGCTCTGCCTGTCTGCCTAGTAGCCCCTCTGCAAGCCTGTCCCCTGTGGATGCTGCTGGCTTCCTCCGGGCCCCATTCCTGGCAGCAGGGTCGCTGAGATCTGGCCAGGGCCTGTTGCTTTTGCCTTGCTGCGCTCCAGGCGAATGGGCGGCTCCTCCACCTGGACTGGCTGCCTCAACTGGCCCTTGAGGCCAGCCCCACACTGCCTCATTCCCATGGTCTTCCCCGACCCTCTCTCTGGCCTGTCCTTGGAAGTCAGAGCAGCACGTTGGCCCAGAACTGCCTGTGAGCACCAGCGCTCACCCTGCACTCCACAGAGAGGGGTGCTTGGAGGAGGCCCTTATGCCCAGTTGGTGCTTAATTCATACGCTGGGACACACGTACCTGGCACAGGGTAGCTCCAAGGTGGTGACTGATTGTTCTCGTCATAATCGAGAGGCCATATGGCCCCAGACCTGCTCTTTCTCCTCATCCTCCCCAGAGGCAGTGGGGGTGGGAACTGTCAGCCATTTTTAGAGAAGGAGTAGCCTCATCTTAATCCAGCCAAAGAGAGGAAAGAGGCAGAGCTCCGCACCGTGATGTCCACGTCCCTGTGCCCTGCTCAGGGTCAAGACCCCAGGGGGCTGTCACACCCTCGTCACCCTCCGGGTCAGAGAGAGCAGTTGAGGGCCTGGGGTCGCTCCAGCCCTTGGCTTCCTGCACTCACCAGCCAAACCCGTTGTCTTGACACCATCTACCCTGGGAGGCAGGTCCCTGTGTCGCCTGTGCTCAGGTCACAGGCCCCAGGTGGTTGCCTCCCAAGGGCCTTCCCGAAATCTGATGCTGATGCCCATGTCAGCCCAGTTCGTGCTGGGCTGACCCACCCCAGATGCCAAAGCTTTGCCACCCCTGTCTGAATGCAGAGTGCTCACGGCGGTGCTTCACGCCTGCATCAGTTACCTCCAGAAACGAACCTGAGCTGTGAACAAATGTTGAGCTCTAGTTAATGATGTGTTTTGCTGCAGTTTACTCTGAAGGCTGAAAAAGTAAGACGGACTGTGGGAGGTGGAGACGGGAAGGAAGCACCAACCCAACTGGGGCGTCCCTGCGCTCTTCACGTGCCTTTCTGTGTTCTTGGTCTCACTCTGTCAGGCTGGAGGGCAGTGCTGATCTGGCTTCACTGCAACCTCTGCCCCTCTGGGGTTTGAGTAATACTCCGACCTCAGCCTCAGAGAAGCTGGAATTACGGGTGTGTGTCACCACATCCAGCTAGGTTTTGTATTTTTAGTAGAGTTGGAGTTTCACCTCCAGTGATCTACCCGCTTCAGCCTCCCAAAGTGCTGGGATCACAGGAGTGAGCCACCACGCTGGACAGAAGGTTTTTTGTTTTTGTTTTTTGAGATAGAGTCTTGCTGTGTTGCCTAGGCTGGAGTACAGTGGCATGATCTCGGCTCACTGTAACCTCTGCCTCCTGGGTTCAAGCGATTCTCCTGCCCCAGCCTCCTAAGTAGGGATTACAGGCACAGACCACCATGCCTGTCTGCGTTTTTTTTTTTTTTTTTTGAGGTGGAGTTTCACTCTTGTTACCTAGGCTGGAGTGCAATGGCGCGATCTCAGCTCAACGCAACCTCCGCCTCCTGGGTTCAGGCAATTCTCCTGCCTCAGCCTCCTGAGTAGCTGGGACTATAGGCACGCACCACTGTGCCCAGCTAATTTTTTGTATTTTTAGTAGAGACGGGGTTTCACGATGTTGACCAGGATGGTCTCGATCTCTTGACCTCGTGATCCACCCGCCTCGGCCTCCCAAAGTACTGGGATTACAGGTGTGAGCCACCGCACCCGGCCTGGTTTTTTGTTTGTTTGGTTTTTTTTTCTTCCTAAAGATGGGGTTTCACCATGTTGGTCAGGCTGGTCTTGAACTCCCCACCTCAGGTGATCCACCCACCTTGGCCTCCAAAGTGCTTGGATTACAGGTGTGAGCCACCGTGCCGGCCAATTTT